CTGCGACTTGGCCCACTGCTTTTTACTTCGAACCCTGCATCCTAAAAAGTTCCAGCTCTCATCGTCACTTTCCAAGTTTCAAACCTTCTACTTGGTTTAGTAGACGCAGCATCTTTAAACCCCAGAACACATGAAGATTCTCAAAGTCACCTTCAGCTCCTGGCAGATTGATGCCCTGATTCAAAAAGCCACAGAGCTGATGAAATCACAGCGGCTGGGCTGCAAATAGAGTTTAGGGGCGTCCAAACATATGGGATCCCTTTTTGTGGGGGCCCCTATTGTAAGGTTAAGTGTATATTGGGGTAGATATGGGGTGCCCCAACTTATGGAAACTAGGGGGTGCCGGGGTGTGGGGTTTGGGGAGTTTGGGATTTAGAGAGGGTGTGGGGCTTTGCATTTCGAGCCCCAGATGAACGCCAAAGAGAGTGAAGGGAGTTGGCATGTGGGATTTTAAGCCTGATCCTAGCGGTTTTGGTCTGAGCGAATGGGCTCTTTCAATTACATGACATCCATGTAGGGGTCCTTGTGACCAGGGCCGGTTTTCTGAGGCCTGGATTAAAAAGGAACATACATAGTCAGATGTTGACTCATGAGAGTTTCTCCCCTTGCCAGATTTGAGGGGCACTGAGCAGCAACCCTGCGCAACACTACGTGCCACTTCGTAATACGCCTGCCTGAAACCTACCCTCAACCCAAAACTCTGGCTCGGAACGCTCCCCTTCGGCCCCTACTTTATGGGTTCTGAGGTTACCTCAGACATTATTACCATGTGCTACCAGACATTTCTGGCTATAGCATGCTGTAAAGTTCCAAGGTCAGCAGGCGAAGTGAGCCCTGTCTCAGAACTCAGAACCCACACCACGGCTTGATCACAAGAAGGATATCCACAGCTACCTTATCTTACGGATGCTACGCGTTACTTTGGGATTAGGTTTGTTTCTTTGGGTGGTGGCTCCTGTGTTCAACGACCACCGGAAGAAAACCTGAATCCATGCCGTAAACCCTACTCCTAACCCTAAGCCTTTTCCAACCGGAGGCCAATTGTGTCCGACGTTACAGCTCCGGCAAAAGTTTTCGGAACTTTGGCGGTGAATTTGCTGTTGTGTGGAGGTGATGGATCCTGTGTTTGGATTGTCAGTGAATACTACAGTGAAAGTCATAAGGGAATCAAGATAGAGTTGTGCTTTGAAGCTACAGGTCCTTGCTACGACATGTCCGGCATTTTGAGAATGCCCTCATCGTACGGTAGCCAAATCTCTTCAAAGTTTTCGGGGGCTGGATTCTTGGACAGTTCAGGGAAATGATTGATGGTTTTGGGTGCACCTGAGCCAAAACTGAATCAGCCGAAGCCCCTGCAATAGACGGTGCAAGTTCGTTCATCGCATGGGGTACTTTAACCTTTCAATAGTCAGCCCAGCATTACGAATCCACTAAACTACTCTTGGAAAAATCAGTTGCTTGTATATAAGCAATGGAGTTGCCCAGCAAGGTTTCCTCTTTCATCCTAAGATAAATCGGACGAAGTAAAGCCGAGATGGCGCCACAAGAATCGCGGAGTGGCAACCTCGCCTAAAGCCCAAGTGTCAGACACTACCCACGCCTTGCATACCTAAATCCCAACTAAACTGCCACACCCCAAATCCCTAAGTGCTCAACCCTGCAACAGCTGGGATTTTCAAATGCAAATATTCCGTATAATGCTTCAGTGGCACCTTTGCAGTGCCCTTAGATCCTCATATACCTGGTGTAAACCCCTGATTAATACCCCCTCCGCCTAACTGGGATTATAATAGGGATCCTAACATTAAGGCACTTCCAAGGAGGCGGTTTATTAATCACGGGTCTACATTAGGGTACCCCGTCGGTACTCCTGTTCGGGGAAAGCCGCAGCTGAGGAGACATTCATGGTCAGTTCCGTGATCTCCTTTTGCTTTTTCATTTTTACGGAAGGCTGGGAAGTGCTATATGGCCGGAATCCCGAACCGTCAGAGTACGGCGGGCGCTTGTGGGTGTGGATATCTAATGCATGGGGTTGAAGGATTTGGGTCCCGGGTTTGCAACATCAGTGTCTGAATGGTGATGACATTTTCGCGGTGTAGATCTCGGGACCCTTGTTTTGGAAGTACTTGCGCAGCCAAGAGCATACCTTGATCCAGGCTCTAAATCCGGCTTGCCTCCTCAGCTTGCTTGAAGAGAAGGTCGGTCTAAGATGAAGCTTTATGTTGAAAAGCGATCCAAAGAGGCTCCACGAGAGTGGTGCAAGGGCCATATAGCGGTTGATAAGGCTTAGGGTTGAGAGTGTCCAAGAGGGGTGTCTGCCTCTTCTTTGGTGGCTCTTCTGAGAAAGTAATGACCTCGGTGTTTCAGGAGCCGCGGCCTTGCTTGGAATGTTGTGCTTTTTGATGGCATATCTTGGACTGTGTTGGGCCATATACGATTTCTATGGCAAGGTCTTATAAACCTGCCTATCCGCAGCGAAGAGACCGTCAACTCTTAGCACATGATCTCCTCAGCACGGTTACTACATGGGACGTTTTGTCAATTTCGGCAACACCAAAAAAGGTGCATCCATCCTTAAGTAGCTACGAGGCTTAAACCAAAAGGACTCCCATTCTACTCTATTCAAATTTGGAGGAGCTGCTAGCTCTCAGAAGTCCATCTCATCTTTTTTCTTTCAAAGCTGGATGCAAGAAGACCTTAAGCCATGCTGCTATGTGCTTGCACGAACTTTCGAACGGACATATTCGAAGGTAGACAGCCGAATTCGCAAGTAAGGAGGGGCGGTTCCTGTTGTCACCGGAAACAATGCTCCCAGTGGACCCCTGCACGCTGAGCCCTATACCCTAACCCCACCAGTCCCATGCAAGCGAATTTGCAGGCCTGACGATGATGAGCAGGACGCAGTCACTCTTGAAGGGTTTTTTTTGGCTGGGGGCATATGGGTATTCCAAATGTAAGGGAGGCAGAAGACGTCATATACTCCTATTTGGCTGCGGTGCGCTAACGGGCCTGCTATCGAACATAGGCCACTATGACATACTGGAGTGGCCGGAGGGTTGCGGCTCAGTATTACCTTGTCTCTAGCCTGAATATATAAAAGTACGAATCATTCTGAATGACGTGAGCCATGTTGAAGTGGACCCCTTGTTTTCAGAATTGCCGATATTGTCAGCACCTGGCCCTGGTAGGACAATGATGAGGAGCCCATGTCTTGGGTGCCGCTGGTCTAAAATCGTTTTGGTTTTGGGGATTATGCTTCGAGGTTGAGGGTTCAGGGCAATATCTGAACCTATAGAGGAGACCCATGTACAACAGAAGCTTCTTATCGAAATCTGGAGATGCTGCAGAAATCTGGTCTCAGCATTTCTTCCTAGAGAGGGTATGCGTAGGGGACAGCAGTGGAAGACTTCATGGCCTTGCGACCCTGATGATTGAAAAACAATCCGAGCTTTTTAGCTTGATGACCGCTTGCATTTCAAAAATGGGCATGCGTTTGAAGATTCAGGAGACTGGCGTCCAAGCCCGTACATACTGTGTCTACAAGTATAACAGACGCCTACACACATGCATACATGCATGCATGCATGCATACATGCTTACACACATTCATGCACTTGAAGTCCAAAACTATGCATCGCCGACGGCATCAGCTGAATCTTGAAAGCTGCGAAGGCAAAGCAAATCGGACCTCGCTTGGCCAACAATTTTCATTCAGGAACAGGGATGCGCCTATCGAACCTTATATCACCAGACGTTGGAAAGAGTAAAACTAACAGTACTTGCAACAGTAAAAGTTGTTGCAATACTTGAAGGGAAGCTCTGATTTTGAGTCATCCTTAGCTGAGCGTGCGTTAGGCAAGCAGGGGTACAATGTTAGGGAACCTAGAAACAATTTAAAGCCCAGCGCTTACATTTACACACAAACTTTTGGCAGTATCTGAATGGTTGTACTTCTAAGCCCCACAGAGTTAATTCAACGCCTTTCATCAAACACTTCGCAGTTGTCTACAACATTTCCTTCTGGAGGCCGCCGTATGACAGATTTGCTCGATCTTCAAGACAAATTGCGCTCGGACAACCCTGAACCTCAAAAAGGATCTGCGCAAGCGACATTGCTTAGACTGCAGCGTAACTCCCAAGTAAGCTCCATTGATAGCCAAGGTTCAATGGAGACTGGGTCGATCGTGGGCGGCACCAACTGGAGGCAAACGCAAACTCAGGAACAGTGCTGGTGTGGAGAAGCGTCCCCATGGGTCTCTGAGAATCAGTAGCTTTTCACACCGATGAACCGAATAGCTTCCTTCAACCACATGTGCGCATGGAGTTTCGCAAATAAGTAGCTGTCCTTATTATCAAATAACATCATGAGGGATCCATGCTGTTCAGAAACAAGCGCTTACTTTTCAGGCGTGGCTCAGAGATGTGGTACGTAATAGTTGAAAAAATCCCGAGGCAATGAGTTGCAGCGACTATTTTACACGCATGTATAGTGCTACTGTCGGATCCATTCCTTCACTCCCACTCAACCAAGTAGGTATTTTGAAGGTGCAGTCCCGTCGACTCGTTGATCCCCATCATCACGAGCTGGCATCATACATGTTGCAGGGGGCTATTTGTGATGGCCTCTGTCCTGACATGATATGGGCTACACACCGGAGTACAGTAGCTTTATCATGGGGACTCCCCAGGACGGACACCTAACTCTGAGAAACCGGTGGCACATTTGGCTCAAGCACTGTTCCTGCAGTTCGCAGCACCGCCTTGAACGAAGTTCTTTTCTGAAGCCCGGCCTTGTCCAACCGAAAGCTTCTCCCAATCAGATCAGGGTTTGCGCCCGTCAGGTCTTGAGACCAGGTGTCCTGGTTTGGGCTCTGTTCCTTAGGTATAGAGCTTAGGGTGGGTGAAAAAAGGGTATTGGGATGAAGTTCGAACACTTCCGAGTTCTTCATCCTGGCGTTGGGATTGGTTTGCCATATCATGCCCAATTTCCAGGTACATTGATGAAAGCCCGGTGGTCCAGACTGGAATCCAGACTGCTTTCGCTAGGTCACTGCCCTCGGGGGCTCCTAGGCTTCTGGAGATTTGGTTGTTTTCGCCACGGAACAGCCGTCTGCTGCAGAGCACTCTATGACCCAGAACTTTCCGTTCGAATCCTGTAGTCATCAGTGTTCCAGGCAGGAAAGCAGGACTCCGAGTGTCAGGTGACAATCTACGACGTCCTATTGAGTCCAGCACTACATAGCAGATTTGATTCTCCTTTAGTGCTACGCACGCCTAGTGCAAAAAAAAATCATTGGACAAGCCATAGGGCTTGGGGATTAGCCGTCCACCCTTGACCCTCAACTTACTGTGCACCCTGAACAAAGTTCCCGCAAACCTTAGAAGAACTGAAAAAAGGTACGCCATGGTCCGCTTCCTGCTCCCCATGCTCCTGTTCCAGCTGGGGGCTGGCCTCATTCTCACGGAGAAGCCGCAGCTCGCGACAAAGACTACCAAGGAGCTCTGGGGATTGGTTTGAAATGTTTGTATGTAAAGAAGCTAAGAGTTTGGGGGTTAGAGTTTACAAAAACTTGCTCCCAACAACGGGAAGGTTCATATGAGCGCATTTCAGGAAGAGTGCACATGTATAGAGTACAGGTATTGGCATTCGTGTGGAATGTTTTAGGCTCTGGCGTTGAGGGTTTGAGGTGTTGAAGACCCTTGTCAAATTTCTGGTTCTTGTTTGCGGTATTTGCATTCAGATTATGTTTGTCTGCATGCTATACCAAGGCATTTTCCTTCTTCAGAACTACAAAGTAGCTTGCGGCATGAGTTTTGGAGGATACTTACCCTCGTCGTCTAGAAATAGCTCTAGACTTGCTCCACCCCCTCCCTGCCAGTTTCAACAGGACACGTTGGCCCTGGCTGCACAAGGTGCCAATGGCACTGTGCAGGCAACAGCCGCCGGTGAGGAGTCCGAGGACAAGGAGGAGCTCGCAGAGATCAAGGAGCAGGATGCCGAGGTGATCCAACCCATCGAGGATGATGGGTCCACGAAGGACGAGAAGGAGGATGCCGAAGCAGATGACCTTCCCGACTCAAGCCCGGAGGCCATGGCCCAGGAAAAGGTGGCTGCAGCCGTCGAAGATGCGGACTCGGATGCGCCCATGGACTCCTCGGCGGAGGATGAGGCCAACGAGGCCGCAACATCCGACACCAAGTCGGACTCCAAGACCAGCTCCCTGCTGCTCAACCCCTGTTGAACAATGTTTTCTTCGTTTTCATGCATTTGAAGCTATTAATCAACGGAAAACATGAAACGTTGCTTTTATCCCGGTCTGGACAAAGGTTGAGCCTTGGCTCAGAGCCTGAGCAGAAGGCACATCCCAGGCTCAAGACCAAACCGGAGGAGACGGTGGCTTTGGCAAAGGAGGCTAAGGACGCCTCGGAGGAGAAGGACGCCAAATGAGAATTGCTCCTCATAATCCTGAAGGCTTACCCGTCTAATCCCCTTGCAATGTATCCGCTTTCCGTATGCTCTCTAAGTATACTTGGTAAAGCTCGTTGTGACGGAGGAGCACCTACGACTAGCATTGTGGAATACTCAAGCAGCCCTTGGATCATGAAAGAGGCTCTTGGACTTCATAAAGGGTTTCATGCAGATGTTGGACCGCTTATGGCGGTCCATCGGAGAACGGGGAGTATTCTGATTGCACAGAGGAAATGTGTGAGAAGACGCTTGAACTATTGTTACTTTTTCGAGAATCCCACAAGAACGAAGTATCTAAGAAGCGCTGCAGGTTATGGCTGTTCTCCATTTTTGCTGCCTAAATTGTGAACCCTTTTTGCGCAAAGGCTCATTGGTAGAGGATCCAATACTCTCCCACACTGAGACCGCAAAATTCCCGGAAAGATTACGCCCAAAAGCCCTGTATTTGAAGCCTAAAATCTAGACCTGAATCCACCAATGCTAACTCGTCCTAATCCCATGCCCTGAACCCAAATCATCTTAAGCATCGAGCCCTACCCCTCTGCATTAAGCATCCACTATTCCTTTTTGACCCACAGCCTAACACCTACCTACCCCTGACCAAGGGGTACTCGTTTTATCGCCTGAAACATCAGACTAACAGGAGGAGGAAGAGCCGGTGGACCCAACGCCGCCGGATGGACTGACTGAGGCGGAGAAGAAAGAGCCTGGGGCTTTCTTGGAAAAGACTAGCATGTGTAGGACCCTTGAGGATCCCTTTCAAGGGCTTATGGGAGTATAGGATTTAGGGTTTGAGATTGAGGTTTAGGGTGTCGGGCATACCGTGCTCCAAAGGTTGTGGTGGGGATTCTGAAAAACTGGGGCCCCAACAAAGGGGCATTTAAAATTACAAAGGGATTATGGAGGACCCAGTACTTCAAGTTTCCAAACAACTTGCTTGCTTTCTGGGTTTCAGGGTTTAGGTTTCGGGCTTGCTGGGGGCTAGAGGATTTTTGAGTGTTGAGGAACTGGGGTTCAGAGGGGGGCAAAACAACTGCCCACATGCCTCGTTGCCATCAGGTCTTGTCAAGCTCATACTGCGTACCTTTGCACACTGTAGTGGCAGGTCTGGTGCTGACATTGATGTGTCTCAATGATGCGCTTGGTTTTGGGAGTTTTGGTTTCGCATACGTTTCGGGTGCAGGAGTGGAAACTCAGCGGTGACTTAGGGTGCACGTTGGCACATACTACTTTCAGTGAGCAGGGCCAACAGGGGAGAACGTGCTATCCACCGTTCAGGCTACAGCATTGTTGCAAGTTCAGGCTTGCTATAAAGCAACAGGCATGGGGGAAGCTTGCACTCCACGATTATCTTTTTGTTGCCACTGTCATCACCATCATCCTCATCATCATCATCATCGTCGTCGTCATGCCCTTGTAGAATTTGCGATGCTATTCCACGGAGGCTCCTGAAACAAAGATGGAATCAGGCCGTACAAAGACTCATGTGCAGGTTTAGAAGAAAAGTCCCACGTAAGTTTCCTCGAAGGTATTAACTAGTTCCAAAACGCAATCCTACATATCCGATGTAGGCTTTACTATAGCCTGCTAGCTGCCAGAGGAATGGGAGAAGACCATGCAAGATCAGAAGGAGGGGGAGGAGGAAGTACAACCCCCAGCGGACGTGGTCGCAGAACAAGAGAAGGTCATACTGGGGTTCACCGTTTGAGGTTCGGGAGCTTAAAGGCTGAGGGCTTAGGGTCTGAGGGGCTAATGCCGGTTTTACAGGTGGGGGTTAGGCGCCAGGGGTACAGGTGAAGTTTATATAGATTAAACACGGCTAGGGAGAAGAACTTCAGCGTTAGGGCCTGGGGTGGACGATTTCGGATTTAATGAAGGGCTTTGGCGTTCATGCTTCAGGCTCAAAAGGTTCAGGCTCGAGGTGGCAGAGGATGTGGCTTCAGGATCTTGATTTGGGCTGTAGAGTTTGAGGGTAGCTGTATAGGGTTTGGAGCTTAATGCGGCGATAACGGCTGAAGGTGCAAAATTAAGGCCAGGGATGTAGGGTCTGACGTTTCAGGACACGACTTTGGGTTTAATCTTCGCGCTTTGGTTCAAACAACAGGTGGAGGCAAACAAAGGGTCGGCTTAGACGCTTTGAATTTGGGGCTGATATCGGGGTTCTAGGGGCACTGAGGCTTCCAGGCTCCCCCTCTCAGTCCTAAAAAGATGATCAGGTAGATAAACGCAGTGGCCCAGCAACAATGTCACTCCGAAATCCTAAGCCTAAATGCTCGTGAAGGAGGCAGAGGATGACAACTCCAAGGACTCCGGCGTTTTGGGATGGAATTTCTTGGTTGGACCGTTAGGGTTTGGGGGGTTTTTGTAACTGACCACCTGCGTGGAGGTTATCTGTGGGCTGTGCATGTTGGTAGCAATGCCTTCGAAGGACTCCGACAAGGCCATGGAACCGCCAGAGGATATGGAGTGAACGACGACCGCATAATGCGGGGTGTACAGCGCCAGGTGTTGGTGCAGACTCGGTGCAGACTTCATGATTTGGGGTTTGGGACTTTCGAGGTTAGGGCTTTGCTTTGGGTATAGAGCTTACAGTTACCATCAAATCTTGGCGCCCAACTCTTGGCCCATCTACTTGTTAATTTATATGTTCTAAATGGATTAAGTAGGGTGTTACAAAAACTCAAGATTTTGAGAGCTCATGTCACTCCCTATCCTTCATTTTAAGCATGTCCCCAAACATTTTTGGCATCCTGGATGGACTTCGCATCATTACCAGGTTGGCAGGTGCTTAGTAGCATTCGAGGGAAGCGAGTTTGCACGTTTGCACCAACACCGAACACCTGGGCTGAGTGTGCCTTGCAAAAAAGCGCTATGGTTCCATGTGAGTACCTAAAAAAGATAAGGAGGGTCTTGCATACCGCAAATACTGATCCTTACTGTAGGGACCCCCAAGTCTAGACATCAATTTTTTGGAAGGGCTTGTCAGGGTCTGCAGGGTTTGGGGTGAAGAGCGTGTTGCTTCATTGCCTTGTTCGTGCCAAGCTTTAAGCAATAGGGTCCTAGTGCTTCGATCTCCAGAAACAAGAGAATCCCTAAATTTGGAAGCCCATAGAGAGGCCCCAATGACTTAGGAAAGGCTTCCGCCTGTCTTTGAGCATCCTGGTGCCATGGGACCCAAAACCCAAAGCCTTGAGCTATATTTGAACTGCACTTAGGGCAAGTCTGGAAATGCTAACAGCACCTTTACTTTGCAACCCTGGCCCTCACAGTTACAGGGTTTGGGGCTGAGGGCTTGACGCCTAAGGCGTCAAGCTTAGGTTCCAGGTTTCAGTATGTAGGGTCAGCATTTCCGTGTTTCACGGCCTGGGGCCTAGGGTGAGTTGTCTGCCAGGCCTCAGTTTGCAAGTTCATGAATGCCAAGTGGGTAGTTGGAAACAAATCTCGACTTTGCAACGAGCAACATGAAAACGAAGCACCAAACTGCAAGCCCTACAGATACTGAACACAGCTCTGGGAGTGTTCTTTCAAGCTTGTCAGTACAAGCTGACAAGTCTGGAATGTCCTTACAAGATCATTCCAGAGGGTACGGGACATTGATTGCAATTGTGCAAGGGTTCCTTAGGGATGATTGTTGAGAAAGTCGAACGTGAGCCCGTGAGCAGGTCATGGTCTTGATCCTTTCCCTGAAGCTGCTTGGCTGTAAATTTTGGATCTGAGGCAAGTGGCTTAAGGGCTCAGAGCTGGGGTTTAGGGGTTTGGCTTGGCATCTCCGCGTTGCAGGTTCTGAAGCTTCGAGTAGGGATTTTTTCGACTTTTGAACCCATGTGCGCAGCATGCTGGCCTTGTATCATAGGCAGTTGGATTTAGCCCCAAAGAGTGAACGTTATGTAGTTTTGTTACAAACCCTACGCCCCTCTAAATCCTAACCGACAAAATGTCAATAACGGAAGCCCTTAGTTTTTGACGGAGTGCTAATTGTCGCGAAACCATAAGCCCTACACACATCCATCGCGCAAACTGACGTGCTGGGCCGTGAGACCTGAGCGGTTTTCGGTTGTCGGTTGTCAATTTAATTCAACGTTGCTTGCAGAATTTCAAGTAAGAATCATCATAATGCAGGAGTACTTTGTTGTTGTTATGGTATAGTACAGAGGCAGTGATAGCGCCCTAAGTTGCAATATTGCACGCGCAGTGCGTTGGGGACTTTCCCACTCCAAACCCTTCAGCTTTGCGCCGCTGAGGATCATGTACCCGAACCAGGTTTGGCTCAACAGAGGCAACCATGAAGCTGGGCTGCAGCAGACTTACCTTTTCCTGTTTTGTGAAGATCCATCAAATCAGCTCATCATTTATGAGTGCTTAAGCCTAAATGGGCAAGACATGAATGAGCTCCCAACACAACCCCAGGAAGACCGGCAGCAGAATCTGAGAACTTCGAAAATAGGCACCGCCTGAGCGGGTTTTCGCATTCAGGGGCGAGACTTTCCTAGGATTGGGGCTTGGGTTTCGAGGTATCGTCAGAGGATATACGGTTCAGGGTTTAGGTCCCAAAGCCTGCCGGAATGTGTCCAATTAATCTTAAAACGATATTGCAAAGTATTTCTTTGTCGTGAAGGGAAATTTAAGAGGACAAAAAAAAGTGTGTTGGCTCTGGGGTTTAGGGTGAAGGCACTAGGATTCACATTTCTGGCTAGGGTTTCAGGCTTCCTGCAATGGTTTCCAGTTCAGCTCATGTGTAGTTCCCTTCGCATGCGCTCCATGTTTCATCTTATCTTACCTTTATGTCCTTCAGTATGGCGAGCCCCACGGGAACACGGCTTGATATTCAGTTCCACGCGGCAGGAAGCTTGCAACAGCCTCCACACCGTCCAAGACCATGCATGCCGCTTTTTCTTTTTTTTCGTGTGGGCTCATTGTCCACCCCAGCAGAAGCCCTGCAGAAACCAACTGTCAAGCCCCCAGATCCACGATAGGGAACCCTAGACTCGAGATGGTACCGTCTAGGGTTAATGTTAGGGCTCATGTTGGAGGTGTTCTGACGCAAAATTAGCAATTATTATCGCGGTTGAGAACACGAGTTTATGATTCCACGGCAGCTTAAACGATTCAACAAGAAAGCTCCGCTTGCATGTCAGGCAGCCTGGGCTTTGACAGAGCCTGTGCGCAGCCTCAGATATGGTCATGAAGGCTTATAATTTGGGGTTCGTTTCTTAAGCGCATCAGATTGTGGACGCAAAGCTGAAGCTTTGAGATTTCGATTGGGGCCCTCAACTAGTGAATAGCTTCTTTGGCGGGCGTCAAGGAAACTATGGTCTGCTTTTCCTTTTTGAGGAAAGAAGTATGAGGTATGTCGAGGTGGTTACCCGGGCACACTTCTCGACTGGATCTTTTCAAGCTGAAGCGTTAGCTGTGCACATTTTTGGGGTCCTGCGGCCAGCTGAGCAAGCACGATAGGGTTGATTCCTTGGGCGAATCCTTCCCGAGCGAATTCTTAACCCTAATGCCTAACCGAACCTTCTACCAACTTATTATGATCTCTCCTACTTAAATTAGATAGGCCTCACTAACTTTCATGCACCTCAACCGAAGCCCGAGCGAAGGGCACTGCAGAGGAGAACTTCCAGCTCATCAAGCATGTTTCTGCAAAATTGGAAGCAGTACCTGGTTTTGATTGTAGCCTCGTGTGAAGATGTCCCTTCAAAAGATGTTACCACGCGCAGTCAAAAACTCCAAAGCTCGGCACAAAGCCAACATATGATAAGATAAAAGACTGGCCATCATGCAGCTTTGGCCCCAGAACCGCTTAGCCTGAACGTCATTTGCATGAAACATTTCTCAAGATCGAAGTTAACATGACCGTTACGAAAACCATACTGAAGATTCTACCAGCACACCCCAACCGCCAGCAAACCCCAGTCGTTACACTGTGACCGCCAAGCCGCGGATATAGTCGTCGGGGCAGCACAGCCTGTGATCCACTGCCCCGTTCCTTTCCGTTTTTCAGGTAGCAAGTCCCCAGTAAATTTGCCAGAAGCTTAAATCCTAAGCAATTGAACTTCGAATCTCCAAACTTTAAGTTCTCCCGAAGCCGCAGAACACAGATCCTAGATTGCACTCTTCAAAAAAAAAGGCAGCCTTAGCACTAAAGCCACCCAAAAGCCCGAAACCGCTACCAAGGCGCTGAAGCCCTGGGCGTGGAGGAGGGCAAGAGGATCTTCGAGAGCTCCTGGGCTTCTGAGGGTTAGGCTTTTAAGGGCTTCAGTCCCAAAACCCGACCACGGCGATATGGAAAGGGCTTTGGGCCCAAAGCAAGCCCAATCTACGCACTTGGACCCTTTCAGGCAAGGTTTAGGTGACAGGCTTTTAAATTCAGGGGCTTCGAAGTTTGGGGGCCACGATGCAGGTTTTTAATTTGGAGTAGGCGGCTGGTTTTGGTACATTGCTTTCCTGGATATGAATGAGCAGCTTTTCCAGGAATGTGCAAGTTACTGCTGAGACTATGATGATGACGGCTATGCTCTCAAAATGCTAACAGCATTGTTGGCTTCCTCGACTACCTAAAGACCATCCTTTTTGAGCACATGCAGAACCTTTTGATTCCATTCCCTGACCTGCATTGATCTTCAATTTCAAGAGGCCAATACGTGAAACCCAAACCTTGAGCCCCAACCCAAACCATCCCCAACCCTCAAAGCATACCGCTTTAAACATCAAAGCGGCAAATCCTAAACCTTAATTCCTGAAGTCCACATCCCAAACCCTGAATTCCCATACCGTCTGGAAGCCCACGACCAGAGAGCTGCAGAATCCAGGCTTCCAGTCGATGTTCGAGTGGCACAAGCCTGAGTTTTGCAGTTGCTGGATGTTTCGAGCGATGAGTTGAATGCTCTTAGGGTTTAGATGTGAAGCTTGGGATTTATTCTTGTTGAAGCATGTTGCAGTAGATCTTTCCGTCACAGCTGGAGAAAACGGAGCCTACTAGAGAGAAAAGGCAGAAGTGCGTCAGGACTCTTGCTGCAAAGGTCAGGAGTGCCTTATTGCAAGACTTGGGAGATGCAATCTACCTTGTCCTAGTTCGGGAGCTTTGGACTTCAAAGCCAGAGCTTGTGTAGGATCTTTCTGGTGAAGTGCACACTACCTCCACCAAAAAGGCACGAGGGCACTTGAGCTTGAAACCTGCCCAAAACCAAACATCTCGAGCTCAGTGCTATTTGATCGTAACAACTTCCAACAGCATAGCAAGCTCCCAGTGCTTGGGGGCCTCTGTTTTTTGATCACAATTCCTGTTGCCGACTTACGGCCCTCCACATGTAAACCCATCGCCTCTACCCAGGCTCCCCCTTGCTGCACGAGTTGAACGCAAAATTCTGGCCAGGGACTTGGGAAAAGCTTTGGTTTCTCACTTTTGGGGTTGCAAGCCATCTCAGAATGCATTCTTTTTGCTTTCCTGGACTTTTAAGAACTGAAGCT